GCAGTATTATTTAATGAACACATAATAACTACGGCCACTCTACCTTAAAGGAAAGGATGAGCTGCTGCAGTTCATCAACAGTTTACAACCACCATGACTGAAAGCCTCTTTAACAGACTTGTTTGTTAGCAGTGATTTGCAGACACAGGTCATGGGTAATTGAAGAAACATTGACCCTGCCGTTTCTTCTCTGTAACTGTGTCTGCCCTACTTCTGCTCTTATACCGCTGAAAAAGCAGAGAAACCCAGAGGCCGGGAGTGGGAGCCACCAACATAATATAGTGAGATGAGATCAGCTCTAAACCACGTTTTCTGTGACTTCTTCTCTCTCTTCTGCAGGCAGCAGGTGTGTGGCACAAAACACACATTTTCAAGAGGCGCCTCATTCTGTTTGATATTTCGTTGTTCATCCCACTCATATGAATGACTTTGAGATACACAAGCACTTGTAGGGTACGCCGGATGTTCTACCATGAAAACCAAAACTAATTATCTTTATCCAGTTTAATATGGAGACATATGAGGGTCATCAGTTACATCACATTGTAACTACTTAGCCTCTTTAAGCCTCATTGTGTTCACTCAACAGGGGCAGGTATGAGTGCTTTAACATATGCAGACATCAGACTGTGCAGGATTTTGGGGCAAATTCAACCCCAAATCTATAAAGTACATTTGCAATAAAAGTGAGAACACAAGGGATTTGGCATGGAATCATTTATAAACAAATCACACTCTTTCAGTATCTTCATCCATACTGTGATAAAAACTGCCAGCTTTGTGTCTTGTTACACTGTTATTGTATGCATACATTATAATAATTTACAGCATTATCTCTCTCTCCTCTCTGCAGGTTTATTCATGATTTAAAAAAAAACTGGCATAACTTGCTGCAGCCTTGCCACTCAGAGCATCTTCAAAACAGCACCATCTATGGTCCAGATGGCCACATAGCTGCAAAAAGATCATGCTACAATGAAGGGAAATCAGGTATGAGAGATTGGTCGTATCACTCATTTTGGTGAAACTCAAGAACAATGTGTTCTGAAGGAGTCATACAACATACACAATGAGGCGGAATGCAAAAAATAAACTGATATCACGTGGAAACAAATAGTCATGGTGGTTAAAATAGTAGCAAAAAGGAAGTCTGTGGCAGCTTTTATTCCCAAATCAAACCATCCCTGAAACTCTCACCCACCTCAGCCAGAACACTACATCCTGTGATTCAGCTGTGTGCGGGGATTTGCCTCTCTTTGAACGTGATATACCTTTTTCTGGGCCTAAGGGTGCTTCAACCTGCCTCTGAAATACCTGCTGTGAGAGGGCTGTCCTGGATACAGGAGTGTGTGGAGGCGACGGGTGCAGAGGTGCAACGGTGATTCCTCAAAACTTTGTTGTTTCACATTCACTTATATGGGCATTTGTTTATATAACTGTGCATGCAGCTGCCCACGCCTGCCTCTTCAGTCAGTTCTGGCAATGCACAGACTCAAGGTTTACATGAGCAGGTACAAAAACTTGATCATCAGTCGTTTTTTTTTTATTACTCCTATATAAAGTCCATGCATGCACGTGTGCAGACAATTGTAGAATAATGAACTGAATGTCCTTCAGTTTCATGTTTTAAAAAAGGGACTTTAAGAGATCAGTGAATGTTGAAAATCCCCACATCGTCTGGAAAGTGCACGTCTTGTTTGTGCCTGTTATCCACTGTGCAAATACATGGGGGGGGGCTTCTAACAGGTCATTTGATTACACAGTCAACCAGTGAGAAGCTCTCTGCTCAAACACGGGTTTACAGAGTAGTGCAATATGAGCTAAGATTGCCTTGAAGATTTCCTCTTGTCCAGTTGAATGATGTCCACTAGAGTTGAGTTACAGGACCTACTTGAAGAATTAAATGTCTTACTTCTGGCATGAACCCCTGTCATTTGTTTCCATTTACATTATTTATGATTATTTACTATTTTCAAAAAAAGTACAAGTGTTCTCTTGTTAGAACTTAATGATTGTTTAAAAAAAAATCTCTAACCATATTTTTAAATAATGTGATTTCGGGTCTGGTATTGGCCCCTAGGGAACTCCACAATTCATATCCATTCATCCATGCGATTTAAGTCAGTTTAACAGATTTGACACATGTTGCTCATTCGTTTATTAAACCTGATCAAATATCTCATGGCTGATAAGTTTTTTAATGTAAAAGAAGAAATCATGGTGAATGTTTTCACACTCTAAGCTGCTATAAGCGCACCATGGCATCTGTGACAGCAGCATGAAACATCCTCTTCACTTACAGAAACTGGGACCTGTACATTTACAACAAAGACATCAAACCAAAGTTTGTGATGTCAAGAGAGAGAGAATGAGAAGCCAGCTCGAATACCCAGCATGCCCAGCGCACCCAGGAGCATGACATCAAATAAAGTGGCTGCACCCCTCTCTACCTTAAAGGCAACCGGAGGAGCACTGACACATTCAGAGGCCATTACATCATGTACATTCTGGATCAATATAAAGAGTCACAACAGACTTAATCTAAAGTATGACAGAGTAGAGGTGTGTGTGAGTCCTGCTGTGTGACAAGCAGCTCTTCTTATGTGTGACATGACTTGTTGTTGTGATGCACAGGAAGTTGTTTTGTAGTGACACATTTCTCTCTGACAGTGTGCACAAGCGTAATGTTACACTAAAGGCTGTCCTTGTTTCATCGTGATGACAGCGTCATAGACCCTGCTTGTTTACTACAGTCCAAACAACTACACACCTGCTGCAGCTGCTCCCATAACTGCTTGAAAAGTTATTAAGAGCTCACGCTGGTTCGCTTAGGGGATCTGTGCCTTGTTCTCTGCACGATCAAATAGTGCAATAAAGGAACAGGACAGAGCACAGAAAACTGACTTTTCCTTTTTTCTGATCCTCTAACTGCTTCATTTTTTAAAAAGTCAACTTTGTAAAATTAAAGTAATATAAAATGAAAGTCTTCCCAAAGAAAAGCATCATTTGACATTTTATCATAGAAGTAATGCATTTAGGTTTTTTAGGAGATTGAGTTGACACCTACATGGCTTATTTGTTAAATTATATAAAAAGTCTCAACAGCAATCATCCAACATAACTTATACTATCCATAAAGCATTATTTCAAATGATTTCCTACAAGAATAGATTTTTTGTTTTGAAATACATTTGTCTGTATCTTGACAGAGGAGAGTTTTGGACACTTCTGTGGCCCTCTGATTGAAAAAATAACAAAACGTTTAACTTGTTAAGAAAATAGAGCATGTTATGTCAGATTGCATACAGAGATAAATATAACCCCTGCAGGTCATTTTAACCCCCTGAGCTATAAGGTGAAGTTATTCCCAGCCCTGGAAGAATACGCAACCTGAATCTGTTGCTTTTAGTGTAACAGGCAAACTAATTAAAGTAGGTGCCAATTAGATTGTAATGTTGCATGGTTGATCATGTACTTCGGTGTCATGGTAATTACCCACAAGAAGTAGTGGGATCTAAAAATTCCCAGGGCACCACAACACATCACAGTATGACTACCAACTCCCACCACTTTAAGGCTCTGTTTTTCTTGAGGAGGGGCAGAGAAAATGATGAAGATGCTCCCTCATAATCAGCTCTACTGTTTTTTACTTCCTGACTCATGTTTGGACAGATATTACATTTCTCTCTCTCTCTCTCGCTCTCTCTCTCCCCCCCTCTCTCCCCCTCTCTCTCTCTCCTCCCCCCCCCTCTCTGTCTCTCTCTCTCTGTCCTCCCCTCTCTCTCTATCTCTCCTCCCCTCTCTCTCCCTCTCTCTCTCTCTCTCTCTCTTCCTCTCTCCTCCCCTCTCTCTCTCTCTCTCCTCCCCCTCTCTCTCTCCCTCTCTAATCCCTCTCCCTATCTCTCTCTCCCTCTCTCCCTCTCTCTCTCTCCCTCTCTCCCTCTCTCTCCTCAACCTCTCTCCTCCCCTCTCTCTCTCTCTCACACACACACACACACACACACACACACACACACACACACACACACACACACAGTTAGTTGAGGAACAGTGCCAGCAGTACAGCAACAGGCACACAACCCACGTTAGGTTATCCCTTTCACACTTTTCGAGAACTACCCAGATCCACCCACGTCCCCAGAGAGAGAGAGAGAGAGAGAGAGAGAGAGAGAGAGAGATTGGGAGGGGAGGGAGTACGCCTATTCGTGTGTGTATCTGTGTGTGAGCGTGTATGTGAGCGTGTGTTTTGTGAGACAGACAAACACACACACACCGGCTGTGTCATTTCTCTCTCTCCTGCATTACTGCACTGTCTGCCCCTTGCTTCAACTTTTAATTGGTTGTGTGGAGATGCTGTTACTATGACAGCAACCGGAACCGGTGCGCGCGCACGATGGTTTCTGCACAGCTGAGTTAACTGAATACCCCACGTGCCGATTTAATAAGTGCGATTGCCTAATTGAAGCTTCAAAGGAAATGATCCCTCCACGTGCAATCAGTGAACTTGCGGGAGAGCCTGCATCGATGCATATAAGATGTTAATGAACAGTTAATGTATTAACTAACATGTGGTTTATCATAAAAAGCTTCATAATTAACGTAGCCTATGTCCACGTTGCCATGGCTTAACCCATGTGTGAAACGTTAGCACACTTAATATTCAGTTATTCATCTCTGTCTTTCATTCCGCTGATCCTCTTTCCGGTACCTTTGGCTCTGCGTTCATATCTGCGTAGTTTGGTGTTAATAATCGTTTGTCTCTGTCTCCCTGAACAGACCCCTCCCCTCTCCTTTAGACTCACCCTCGTCCTTCCTCTGCGCACACACAAACACGTCTCCCCCGCACACTCCCCCCCTCCCCTTCGTCTTGGTTTGCTGTCTCATTCACTTCGGTACGCCATCCACGCACTGACTCCGACTCGGCGCAGGGAGGGGGGGGGGCGGGGTTGGGTATATACCTCACAGAGCAGGCCACGAGCTACACTGAGACTGGACCCACTTGCAGTGCAAGGACCACAAGCAAGAAGACTCCGAAGCCGGGAGTAGAAGTACCAACATTTGATCCTGGAGCTTTGAAAGAAGAGACAAGCGAGAACAGCGTTTCTGTTTCTACGGACTGTCTGCTGGAGCTCCCATTTTATCCGATTTGTCACTCCGCTATACGCCAGTTTCTCTGGATATAGCAGCTAAACTAAGTTGGTAGTAAACTCTTTGGAGTTTGGTAAGAGTCACTTTATAATTTTCTTTGCTTGTGAGAGTGGACTGCACTGAAACTTGGGATCGACCCGTCTGGGTTTAGGTCGGTTTTTGGACCTGACGCATCCTTTAACGGCGAAAGTTTTGAGCAAGAGCGTCGAGTCGACGTCAATCAGCAGCTGCTACCCGAGTACAGAGCGGATAGACAGCCACTGACGAGACTTTAAAGAGAAGTTAACAGGTAAGAGAAGACTTGTATTTTCAAGTCATTTAAATGTGTGTGAATGAGTTTCCGCAGCCCGTGTCTCTGTGTCGCTGTCCGTGGTGCTGAAACTTTCAGCTGACTTCTGCTTAGCGGCAATGTTTGAGCAACGTGGATCTACTGCCTTGTTTCCTACATTTATTTCAGCAACTGATCGGTTCCATGATTATGTATTTTTTCTTCCGGATTAACTCCAGAAAGTCTGCATAGTCTGCAACCAATCAATCTTTATTTTGATAACACTTTTCATACGGCGATGTAGCACAACGTGCTTTACATAAAAAGAAAACAAACAGCAACAATATGACTCCCACCCATGTCCCACAATCCATAAACAAAATAGGAAATAACTGGATTAAAACAGGCAGACTACTGGCGGACAGAGAAATGAAATACAGTGCTGTACTGTCGTACTTGCAGCGTCATCAGCTGAAAGTTAGATCGCGACAACAGGTTGCTCGCTGGAACTTTCTTGGTGCATTCATTGCTGACATGGCATCTTGTTACTGCGGGAAAAGAGACAATATTATGACATGCATGGTGAAAATTGCACTTCATGCATACACTGCCATATGTGAATTCCTTTGCACCTATGTCTTCACCATTGCATAGATGTGAGAGATGCTTGTACATGTTTAAATGAAACACTGTCTGCCCTCACAAAGTTGCACAGACTGGGTTTCATTTACTCTTTTTACTTCTGTTCAAGAATGGGAAGACCCTAGCATCAGATATTCCAACAATCAACCGTCAATATAACTGCATGACTTGTGGAAGCTTTGTACTGAATCCTTGTCTGAATCTTAAACAAACTCAGTCTTAAGACTTGCCCCAGTCCCAAACTGCAGGGAGTTGCTGTCAGCAGTCTGCAGTGATTGTTTTAGTTTTGCTGCCCACTGTTTTGCTTTCACTTAGATTTTGCAGCAAAGCTACAAAGTGTTTCAGTTCTTGCACACATGGACAAGTTTCTGCACCCAACAGGGCAAAAGAAGAGGCGTAAGCAATTTATGGAAGAAACATGACTTACTCTGTCTCCAAAGCTGAACACAAGCAATGGTGATCACAAGCCTTACCTGCATGGTTAATTTGGTAAAACATCACATATTTATTGTCATTCAGGGGGGAAAAACATAATTGTTAAAGTAGGTCTGGCTTAAAAATTAAAAGGCTACTCTACCAGCCTTCAAGGTATATGCATTAAATGAAAGAAGGCAGATGCATGTATATTTTTTAAATCTTTTTTGGTTGTCATGCAAGTCATGCAAATGACTTTGTCTGCAGCTACTGACAATATTACGTCACATTCAATACTTGCACATTTCATATTGCTTTACATATTAGTCTTTCTTCCCTTTGTCACACACTGAAGCAGAGTTATGCTAAGCTTTTTGTATCTGTCATGAGATTAAATACTTCAAGTCTGTGCACTCCAGCATAAACAGAGAGCATCTCACTGATGGTAATTTTGTATTTTTCACACTGATCTGCAAAAAAATAAAGAGTGTCTCCATAACAACTAATGTCCCACTCTTCAGGCTGCCTGCTTTGCACAAATGTTGTTGACGACAGCAAATGGGCAGGCAAGGAAAAGGGGACCGAAAGGTTTTGGGAGGGAGGGGGTTAGGAAGGACAGCAGAGTTCTGCTACTTACGACAGCTGGACCTCTTTCTTTTCGCTGTGTGCCTCATCAAATGCCCATTCATGGAGCTTCCGGTTGAGAGGCAGAAGAGAGACACCCACCTACACAAAGAAGAGGTCTTTGCTGTGTTGCTCACAGATGGGGGGGGGGGGGTAGAGGGAGGCGGCATTATGTGAAAGGAGATGTGAGGAAGGTAATTATGAGTACTCTGCCTGAAAAGTGCAGGTGCTTCTCACAGTGAGTGTCTCTACAGGCATCACATCTACTGCCCATTTCTGTGTGATTAACTTTTCTTTATCAGTTTAAAGTACAGGGATTTATTACTAAGATGAAATATTCCCTCCACATAGACATTACATCCCTTATCATGCCCTTGGCTTGTATTAGCATTAAACAAGAGAAAATGAGAAAAAAGTCAAATAACCCTGCATGCATGTGAAAGATGTTGCTGAGCAACAGTGTCCTCCTGCAACTTACAGACAGACGGGTTTAGTTTTGTACCTTGATATGTATCTGCACTCTTTCTCAGGGCAGTCTGCAATGGTCAGTCTCCACATATTATTATTGCATTTAGTTTGCATGATGAGTACCTTTGTTAAATCTCAACTTAGTTTTGATGAATTTGAATGCATGCAACACTTCTGCAAAATATCATTCAAATGCAACATTTGAGTAGTTTAGATGTATATGCATGCATTTGCATCAACATGCAAAAAGTCTCATTGGTACATTTGGTTGGAAATATTCCAAGAGCAATTTTTGATGCCACAGAGGTGTATGTCATCACACTTAGCCCTGGACATGCAAGAACCATTCCTCTTGTTTGGCACTCAATAAGAGGAATGCATTGCACAAATAACAGACTTAATAAGCGTCTGTGGTTGCCAGTGGCAATGCTTCTATGGACGTCAGACTGACGCACATGAATTGCTGTTCAGTGCGGTGTGTGGGAGGAAAGAGCAAGAGCTCTGAGATACCAGCCTGCTGTGAAGGACTGTAATTGCAGAGCAGGAGCAATTATGTCCCAGAGAACTGGGCATTTTGGATCATTGAATCTGCCCTGAAACACTATGATACTGATCACAGGCAAATCCCTGATGCATGAATGTTGGGTCAACAAGGGGTCCAATTAAAATGCATCACATGAATACAGTGAGAAAAATGCATCTCATGTGGAGAAAGCTTTTATCCTGCATATTGATGTCTGATCTTTTTTTTGTTTTTTTGTAGATGTTTTAGCATATTTACAGAGTTTTGTCTCTCTCTATTCTCTTTTTTTTCTGCAGCTCGCTCCCCTGTGATTCAGACATGACAGATTGTCTGAGGCACTAAAGTCAGAGGGATCAATTGAAGTCAAAAGATCAAGAACAAGTGTAGTAACTTGCAACAAAGAGCTCATCCAAACAACTGCATTAAACCGCCGACCAGAGAATAAAGAAGAACACCATCCTAAGCCGACCCAATGGCGTGGTCAGCTCTCATCGGCCCCTGTGTGGCCCTCGTGCTGCTCTTCTTCGGTTTGACCTCCTGCACTCCCTCAGGCCCCGCCTCCGCCACCTGTGCCACCCTGGAACAGAGTCGCTTCTTTGGCGTTTTCTCCTCTTCAACCACCCTGCACTCGACACCATGCTCCTGGACTCTGCAGAATCCCGACCCTCGCCGCTACACCGTCTACATGAAGATCACCAAGCCCACTGAGTCCTGTGTGCCTCGCCAGATCAGAACCTTTCAGTTTGACTCCTTCATCGAGACCTCCCGCACCTACCTGGGTATGGAGAGCTTCGAAGAGGTCGTGAGGATGTGTGATGCGTCGACCACAGTCACCTACTTGGAGTCCAGCAAGCAGTTCCTGCAGATGCGCAGAGTGGCCCCGAGGAATGGCCTGGAGGTCGTGGCGGAGCATCACGATGTCAACGAGTTCAAGGCCGAATTCCTGGTCGTGGGGAAGAGGAACCCGAGCATGCCCGCCTGCCAGATGCTGTGCCAGTGGCTGGAGAAGTGTCTGTCCAGCAGCACCCATGATTATCCCTGTGGCATCATGAACACACCCTGCCAGTGCTGGGAAGCCCCAAAGAGGAAGCCAGGAAGCTGCTACAGAGGCGGGGTCTATGTCGAGAAATGCCTTCCTGTTCCAAAAGACAACGGACGTGATGCTGAAATTATCAGTAAGTGTGCAACTTTATTAGTTGAAGGGTAAACTTTTTAAAATGTAAAAGAAAGCATAAGAAAAAAGGGGACTATACAAACATCTCGCCTCAGTAGAAACAAACAAAAACAGTGTGTTACCTGCTGCTCAGTTGTGTTGTTTTGTAATGTTCTTCAGGCCTCTGCAGGCAGTCTGCAGCCCAGGAGCTGCTGAGGCTAATGATCCACGTCTGCAGAGCCAGTGGAGAATGTGTACTCTTCTGCTGCAAAGTAATGAGTAGTAAATCAAAGGTGTTAGAGACATTTGTCAGAGCATTATTGGCAAGACTGCCTTGAGCGCACACCTCGGCAGCTCCCCGTTCTGTGTCAGGCAGGCATGTTGGGTCTAATGGTTGGCTAGGAGTGGGGGTTAAGAAAGAGGGCATGGCATGGCTGGTTTGGGTGGGGGGGGGGGGGGGGGTGCAGACTGAAAGGGGCACAGAGACCTCACAGTCAGCTGGTGTCGGAAATCGAAGTGCAGTACTTGTGGTCGTCATAGCAACTCTCCTGCAAGCTTCACCATCATTCACACAGAGCTTCTCTGAGGTGCAACTGAGTGATTAAAAACAAACAATCACCATTGAAGAGAGAACATCCAACGGTCTCTGCTCACAGAACTCGTCCTTGCTCAGTCGCTGCACATTCAATATATATTACTCACTTCCTCTTCTCATATATGAACTCTACAAAGAAGGGCAAGGTTGGTTGAGTCATGCTTTTGTGCACTTCTTTATGCACAAATAAGCTCGACCTTCCTAAGTTTTGACTTGTTGCACAATTTTCTTTTTGTCCAATATTCCAACATTTCTCCTCTTTTTGTTCCTACAGAAGGCTGGGCTGGATGGGGTCGCTGGTCTGTGTGCAGCCAGGAATGCGGTGGTGGAGTGCAGGTGCGCAGCAGAGGCTGCCAGCCTGAGGACAGTGTGTGTGAGGGAACGGTTGAAGAAGGACGGGCCTGCAACCCTCAACTTTGCATTGGTAAGCCCACCTTTCATCTCGTCCTTTAGTGTGGAGCTGCAAGGCGGCTCAGATTCCATGCTATAATCATGCAATCTGTCAATTCTTTTAGGCAAAGAGCGCAACAGGAGCCAGGGTCTGCGAGCTATTGTTGGTTTGAGGAGAGACAGTGCAGATGATGCCACTCATGGAGTTGTTGCAACCCAAACAGGTGAGACAGGAAGATGACACACTGCAGTAAAATCAGCTTATTATTCAAAGTACTACCTTAACCCTTTCAAGTGTTTGGAGCCTTGTGTGCTGCCACTCTAAATCATTATTATTTCCACAGTAGATGCCAAAACAGACGAGTGGTCCACCTGGAGTTCTTGTTCAGTCACCTGTGGAGAGGGCTGGCAGAGCCGTACCCGAGTCTGTGCTACTTCTCCCTTTACCACCCAGTGCACCGGACCCCTGCGTGAGAACCGGCCCTGCAACAACACAGCCGTCTGCTCTGGTGAGTGTACCTCTCTATTGTGAGAGTGAACGGGGGAGATAAGAGGAAAACATCAGGGACACTTTGTGTTTTTTAAAACAAACAGTGAGACAAGTTACTAAGTTAGGTATTACTGAACTTTCACACACTCAGATTTGAACGGGTAAGAACAGCTTTTGCATTTAGTGGCATTTATGTGTTAGGGATTGTGTAGAGGAATGATCCAATTGCTGCAGGCAAAAATAAAGCTGCACATTTTAAACAAATAATTTTTCATTAAATCATCCCTCTGTGTTTCCAATGTGTAGTTGATGGTGCTTGGGATGAGTGGACCCCCTGGAGCCTGTGCTCCTCTACCTGTGGTCGGGGTTATCGTGACCGTACCCGCACGTGCAAGCTGCCCCAGAATGGAGGAGAGCCTTGCCGTGGCCCTACAAGACAAACCAAGTTCTGCAACATCGCTGTCTGCCCAGGTGAGACAAGAGTTACAAATACACACACAGTGTGGCAAGAGAAAAAGATAGAAGAAGAAGATAAGAAGATTTACTTTATTGATAAAGTTTTTACACTCTGTAGTCATGCAGAGTGTAAAATTTCAGCTGAGTTCTGAAGTTTCAGTTTTTACACTCTGTAGTCATGCAACACACACATAGGCTGAAGTATATACACATATGCACACAAACAGGATCCTATGGACATGCAGTAATGGAGAGATGTCAGAGTGACGGAGCACAAGACGCACAAAGCCTTACAAATATATCTATATTCTTTTGCTTCTACACTTTAAAATACTTCACAGCTGACTCAGGCTGAACCACTTGACCCTTCAGGGAAGTGATTTATATATGAGAGGTAATTAAACCTCTTATCGGCATCCCCACCAGCCCTAAACAGCAGCTGCAGTGACAGGATGACATTAATGTGACGCATCCAGGGAATAAAAAGCCTCTGTGGGCATTAGTCAGGGGCTGTACAACAACTACCGGTGACTCACACACTGTGCGCATGGTCACTCTCTATATATCACTCCTTTTCTGCCACCTACTCGTGTGCTGAAGCTCACTTTCTTAAATATCAGCTGCAACTTGCACATTACATTTTTCACACCCTTTCCACATTGAGTTTAGTGGAAAGTATAATTTCAAAGAATTCATTAAGTGCTATGTATGTATGGCTTTTTGCAATGCCATATTGCCATCAGCAAGTGTCTCGATGCTCTGCTGCTAAATTGCTCTTAATGTCTGACAGAAGAAAGGCTGTGCTGTTAGGCAGCCATTACTGAGAGATGATTACACATTTCATTTGAAACATAAGGGCTTGGAAAATTGAGTCAGCCTTAATAACCCTTTTAGAGTTTTCTTTCTGACTATTCTAACTTAATCTTAAAAAGTATTTTAATTAGTCGATTTTTTTTCTTCAAATCTTTACAAGGCAGTTTTTTATTGCACAAATGAATGTTTTCTAAGGCTTTTATTCCCCAAATTTTTGAGGATGAAAATTGTTTCCATGAAGTCAGCCATTATTCCCTCACGATGCCTATATGCACTTTATTTTTTTTTGAAAAGCCTCATATGGAGCACAAAAGATCCAGATAACTGAAACTTTTATGTGAAAAAACTTCGCAAATACATTCAACACTGCTCAAAATGTCCTTTAAGACATAAACGTGTGTGAGTTTTTTAAGATAGTGAATGTTTTCAAGTAGAGGCAGACTTCAGAACTCAGCTGAAGAAGGTCATGTGAAATATGTGTATCATCAGTGAGGGTGGCATCAAGGGTGTTTGCACGCGCTGTAACTGTCTCGTGTTTCTGTGCCGCCCTCTAGTGGACGGATCCTGGAATGAGTGGTCTGCCTGGAGTGTTTGCTCTGCTTCCTGTTCCAACGGCACCATGCAGAGGACCAGGGAGTGCAACGGGCCCTCCTATGGGGGCTCTGAGTGCCATGGTAGCTGGAAGGAGACCAACAACTGCTTCCTTCAAGAATGCCCAGGTATAAAAAAGACGCTTAACTTGCACATTTTAGATTCTTTATCCCAACAAAAGAGAAATGAGTTAGACTGAATATTCTCTTTCTTCAGTTGATGGACGCTGGCATGCATGGACATCCTGGGGAAGCTGCAGCAAGACTTGTGGTGGAGGCATACAGCAGAGACAGAGAGTGTGTGAAGGCCCTTTCTTTGGTGGAGAAGCTTGTCCCGGTGAAAAGGGAGAGCAGAAACGTTGCAATGAGAAGAGATGTCCTGGTAAGTTACCTCAAGAGAAACTGAAGATGGTTAAAAAAATATCAGTTAGGAAGAAAGCTTACTCATCCTTTTTTTCTATCCTTGTAACTTTATAGAGCCCCATGAGATCTGCCCTGAACAGAACACAGGAGATGTTGTTTGGAAGAGAACCCCTGCAGGAGATGTGGCCGCCATCGACTGCCCTGCTGATGCGTCAGGTACAACAACAGCAAAAATGTTAAAACACCTTGTCTGTTTTTACCTTGCATATCTTTGACTTTTTATCAGCTCCCAGTCAGCTAAACGAAGGAAATTTATCTTAAAAACAGGATTGATTCTGCGCCGATGCACCCTGGACGCTGTAGGCCTTGCCTCCTGGGAGACCCCAACTCACATCAAGTGTGTCTCCAACAACTATGAGAACATTCAGACACTGGTGAGCACCATCTATTTTGTCCTCATCAGTCTAATTTACCAGAAGTAGAGTCAAACAAGCGAATGTCAAAGATTCACAGATTAACTTCTCGACTCTTCTTCTGTAGTCAAGGGACTACATCTCCAAAGCACAAACAGGGCAGAGTGTGGATGGGATCGCTGAGGTGATTTCACGCCTGAGATTCTCCTCCGATGAAGGGGCCAGGTACAGTGGTGACCTCTTGGCTGTCATGGAAACCATGAAGAACACCACCGAACTGTACCACGGAACCAGGCTGAGGCTGAGCAGTGCAGATATTGAGGTAAGATGAATTCTTATCGATGAGAGGCCCAAATGCCAAAAATTATATCTCACTGGTAAAAAACAGTTTCTAATCAAACTGTGTTTTGTGACTTCTAACACCTTTGCCTCCATTTAATGATGTGCAGAACTACGTCCAGACCATAAGCAACCTTCTGAAGGAGGAACATCGTGACAAATGGGAAGAGGCTCAGCTGGTATGTGATAAGAGGGTTTGTGTGTGTGTGTGTGTGTGTGTGTGTGTGTGTGTGTGTGTGTGTGTGTGTGTGTGTGTGTGTGTGTGTGTGTGTGTGTATATATATATATATATATAAGTGCAAGTGGCCGAGGAGGGAAAAAAAGGGTCTTTTGTGCTAATGTTCTTGTGATGGGATGAAGTGTGCAGGACAAATTCAGGGTGTAAAGTGTGAGAAGTTAGTTTAATAAATGTGAAAGTGAGGGTATGAATGACTGGTGTGCTTGCACTGATTAACACTCCAAAATGCTTTTTTTACCCACCCAAACATCACATAAGAATTTAATAAGTTTATTCTGCCAAGAGCCAATAATGTGTGAGACCCTCAAAACAGGAATAAAAGCATTAAAAAGATGTCTTGAGAGGGAATTATCATCAATTTTAGACTCATGCATGGATTAATAGAACAAACAGAACAGTGATTTATCTTCAAGAAAAAAGTGAACACTTCAAGGTGACAGAGAGAAAGAGGGTGCGATTGAATCAGGGAGAATCACTACAGCCCACTTAGCAATCTGTGATTGTCCATGTCATCCTACATACCGACAGCAGTTGTAAGGGGACACAGACAGCACATAGCATACACACACATTGCGCCCACATCGCTGCAGTTCTGCGTCAGAGACACGCAAGTCATGCAGCCCTCCCTCTCTGCCCAGCGAGAGATGGAGGACAAAAAACCTGAGTATGAATCAACAGCCTGCCCATTTATGGTCTTAAGGAAGTTCTGTGGTTGCATAGCAGCAAGAAGTGTTTTTCACTCACATGCTGAGAGCTCTGAAAGAAGAAGTACAATCTGCACTAGCATAGGAGCAAGAGATCTATAAATGAGCCTAATTGTATTCAAATGTAAAGTGTATTTAATGAAAGTACATGAATGTGACCCCTACTCTTTTTAGCTTCTTTCTGACCCTTCTTTTTTTCCCCTCCTTTTCTTATTGTCCTCCAGATGGGTGACAACATTAAGTCGTTCCTCCGCCTCGTCGAGGACTTTGTGAACATGATCGGTGTGCAAATGAGCGGCTTCCAGGACATTTATGAAGTCACCGAGAATTTAGGTGAGTCCTAATTCCCTCTGCCAGCTGCTCCCTGCTCACACCGAGCAGTCAGGGATGATTTGTCCTCTCTCCAGCCGGAGTGCATCAATCTTTATCGTGTTGTGGATTTGAGTCCATATAAGCAGCACAGTAGAATATATCACTTTGACAGAGAGTGTCAAGTCCTGTGACATTTTCCATCCTCAAGCAAATATATCTGGCACAACACATATAGGGCTTTCATACTAACTTATCAGTCAAACAGGGAATAAATGTAATGTCGACAGTGAATCAGTCTTTTTGTGACTTCTGTGAATGGTGAAATCCAAACATAAATTAGCACAGAATGATCACTCCGCACACTCGCATGACGAGCGAAACCAAAATGTTCTCTGCATTTTTGATTATTCAACCAACTCAGAAGAAAGTAGAAACATGCAGTGTATTATATGACTGATTAAATAATAAAAACTCCTCTCTCTGTCTCTCCATCTTAGTCCTGAGCATCCACAAGCGCCCTACAACCACAAGCTCCAACTTCACCTTCCCTGTGAAGGGCTGGAGGGGCATGCTGGACTGGGTTCGGACCTCTGAGGAGAAGATCTCTGTGTCTCGAGATGCTCTGTCCGTTGAACAGACTGGTAAGATTAAATCTGTTTTTATAGATCGTCCGATGTAGAATGTATCTTGGGGATTTGAGTCTAAGCAGCTCTCCTGTTCTTTGCAGATGGAAACGATGCTTTTGTGACTGGCATTGTCCTCTACAGAAACCTCGCCTCTTTCCTGTCCTTTCAGAGGTAAGAACCTATTTTCAGCTTTTCATGCAATGTGATTCCTTGCCACAAGATGGCGCCCTTTGTTGAAAAACTCCTTGATTCATATTCTTACTTGCCAGCATGTTTTCATTATAAAACCATACCAGTATGTCACATGAAGCCTTGACTACAATCACTTAACTATAATGTGTAATTTTCTGTCTCCATAGCAACACGACCCTCCTCAACTCCAAGGTCGTATCAGTCATCGTCTCGCCAAACCCAACCCTCCTGTCGTCCCCTGTTGAGATTGAGTTCCCCCACCTCCACAATGTAAGTCCCTAATGCATCCCCTATCTAATGGAGCCTTACACAACACATCAGTTCCCCCCTCCGGGTGTTTGCTCAGTGCCAGTGCACAGAGCCTGACATTTTGTTGACATTTTCAGCGACACTGTGACTTCACTAAAAAAAACGTGTGTGAGCTGCTAAGATCACAGCTGCTGAACCAAGCGGTCAGTCGACGCTGATGAGGAATCACGCGCAGTAATTAAGTCTCTTGCAGCTGAGAATGAGCTGTTTTTAGTTTTGTTTTTTTTGCACATGTATTACGAGGGAGGGGAGTGAGAAAGTGTGGGCATGTGACAGGTCAGCAAGCTGTTGCATCTCACACGTTTTACATCCCAGCCCTACATGTTGCCAATTTTCTGTGCAGATATTCCTCATGCTGATTCTCTCTCTCTCTCTCTTTCTTTTTTTTTTTTTGCAGGGAACCATGAATGAGACATGCCTCTCATGGGACGAGAGTGAAACGTAAGTGTTGACCACAGTTGTTCCTCTTGTCAAGCTATCACTCACATCTAGTTCTTCTGTCCCAGGTGGCCTTGTTGTTGTTTATTTCCTCACTTGTAGCCTTGTTGTAATTTCAGTTATGCATCTGTCACTGCATATGAACATTCAGCCCCCCCCCAAACCAGATATATACACTCCCCAAAAACAAACTGATAATGTCTCCCAGACAGAAGCAGCAGGCCTCTCTGCTGTCTGACACACTTAACTGTACTCAGAGTTAAGAAACGACAATCTCAGTGATCATCAGCTGAGTGACACTTCACAAACCTCATTACATACATCAGTGAGTAAATTCACTGCAGCCTCCCTACAGCTCACACCTCAGAGTGTCAATCCGGAGACAATGACATCTCCAGCTCCCTCGCCTCAAGTCATGCTCATGTGTCAGCGCCGAGGTTAATGGCTGCGGTACGTGGGACTTTTTAAAGATGCCTCTGAGTGACTTATGAAAGGGGCTCTGGCTGGATCAATCAGCCTCAGGCCCCCTCTGCCCCCTCCTGAAGAATACACAGGTGGACCATTTGCATTTAGATAGATTTGTACACTTGTGGAGGGCAGATAAGAAAATGAAAATGCACCTCAACACTAACACACACATTTTTTGCATTAGCCACAAACAACTCGAGTCGTTGCATAAGCAGAAAGAGGAATATATCGCAGGAGAGAGTGAAATCAACTCCTTTACTTTCAGAGGAAGATGTGCCTCCAGTCAAATTAGATTTATTTCGGACAGCAAATGTGATTAACTGCAGGAGAGAGAGACAGCGCAGTGGCAGAGTGTGGGGTCAATGCATGTCTGCAGTGTCTGATCAAAGGAAGTGCATGAGCATCTAATCTGACAATTAACTTTCCTATATGCATAAGCTCAAATTTTCAGCTTTTGTGACAAAAACTAACAAACTAAAGGGCCTTAAATGCCCCAACATTAGATCTACATGATATGACAACTCAATCAGAGCACATATGAAACTCTGCAGCCAAGCCTGCTGATTGATGCCATCCCAGGTGGTTTTACCCCACGGCCGTCCCCTCCATGTCACTCTGCACCAGCCCAGACCTGCTGGCTACGATGAACCCTCTGAATACACCGATCAGTCAGCGCCTCAGGGTGCTGCTCCTTGCCTGAAGCTCCTCCGTGCTCCCTGGCATCTGCTACTGATGTGGCTCTGCTTACACACAAACATCTTACATTCGTCACTGAACAAATCTGATCTCAATCCTTAGCAGATTTGTTAAAGTTGATTTGTCATATCATTTGAAACATTGCCCTTGTAAAGCACTCATTATTGATTTTACTTCTTGTTTGTACTGTGATTGATTCATTGTTTGTTTGATCAAGCATGGCGTGGTATAAAATCGTTAAGGCTATGACACCATCCAGTTTGGTTAAAATGTCATTTTTGTTTTTAGAGAGGACAGATACAAGTGGAAATCAATTAGAGGAATAGGATTCCTCACTTTAGATCAGTTCTCTGGATTCATATTGTCCTCATATTCCCCCCCTGTTCCAAAAGAGGGAACACTTTGTCCTTTTGTCCCTAATGCTGTGGGCAAAGGTTGCCAGTGATCGTGTGTTTTATTACAGAAAGATTTTCCCTTTACTAGAAATGACACAGATTATGATAAAATGAGATTGAGGGAGGCATATAATTGTTAATCATGGCACAGATGGCTATTAATCACACACACACATGTAAAGCATCATTAAGGCTTTTGTGAAGTTAATCTGAGCACCTCAGGATACATAGAAGGTATAATAATTAGTTGATTCATGCTGCTGGGTCATAGAACTAGTGTTTGAATGTTATATAAAATGCAAAAAATGCATGTAAAGTTTCTCTGGGTTTTGCTGTTTTAAAATGCAGCCCTGATTGACTCAGAAGCAGAAATATGTTAATGTTTTATTTTCATCATGAGTTTAAGAGAAATCTCATTAGAAGGCATTCAGATGAGACATTTGTCAGATCTCTCCTCTCCTAACCCGTCGCTGCATCCTTCTCTCCTCCTTCCTCCTTCAGTTCGTCTCTGCTCGGCTCTTGGTCTGCGCGTAGCTGCAGAGCTGTGCCCGTTCATTCATTCAGGACCAAATGCGTGTGTGACAGCCTCTCCACCTTCGCCATTTTATCGCGCGTCAACTTCGACTCGGTAAGTTTCCTGTCTTAATGCAATGTTTCTTGTTTTATTTTAATCATCCATTCTTGGGGTTTGTGTTCCGTGCAGTGTGTGTGTGTGTATGTGTGTGTGTGTGTGTGTGTGTGTGTGTGTGTGTGTGTGTGTGTGTGTGTGTGCGTGTGTGCGTGTGTGTGTGTGTGTGTGGTGCAGTGTGGAGGTATCGATAGGCTACTTGTTGTTTTCGAGCGGTCTGCTGCCTGCCTGCATCTCTTTGTCTCCGTGCAGGTAATCGGAGAATTGCAGGCTGTTTTTATTGGAGAGAAATAACCGAGCATTGTGAAAATTCGCCTATTGGCGTTTCGATTGTGCACGAGCGTGTTAATTGGATGCGTTTACTGTCAATCTGCTGCGTAATTGGCAAAATAAATACGATCGCATCTTTTGGAGAAAGCTAATGTTTTTTTTGTGTGCAAATATTGAACATTAATCACAAATGATTCATTCTTTCACTTTCATTGACTTTCTGATCGTTGTGTAACCTAGTTTTGCATCAATCTTTCGATCGTGCACGATGTATTTAATAATGCAAATAAAAGTAGGCGTAAGCAGAGTGGGTGCAGAAACTTGTTAAAAAACACTGGATGCTTTGATAACCAAAAATCTGTCATAACGCATCGAGTGTATTTCATGCGCAAAGACTGTGTGTATTTTTCCTCCCTGTAGACTGTTGCCTCCAAAGCTGCTCGCTCTCGAGTTGCCATGGCAACGGCTTCTGCAGCGCGAACCGGCCTGTGTGATTTTTGATAACTGAGAGGGAAAAACACATACACACACACACACACACACACACACACACACACACACCCCTCCTCCTTCCTCTGTTCTCTGTGTGGCCCCCCTCAGGACAGAGGAAATGGCCTGTCCATCTCTGTTGTTCATCAGATTGCTGCTGCACGTTAAAGTGCAACCAACAGATGGCTATAAATATAAAGATTTGTTATTTTATATGTGCATTTATCTTAGTTAGTTTTTTGTGTGATTGCAAAAGAACTCATACATTTAAACTGCAGTGATCTTCGGTTTTGTTTCCTCTCCTGTCAACCTGTTGTTTACATCCCACATTTGATTTTCAGTGGCCAGTCTTAATAGCTCTTTAATAAACTAAGTAATATGCTGCACATTCTTTCAACCTCCCGCACACTCAAAAAAAAAAAAAAAAAAATAGGCTGCTGCGCCAATCATTCTGTCTGCCAATATCTCTGAATTCTCGATTATGTCCATCCCCCACTACCTTCTCCTTCCTCTTCGGACACAGCACAGAGTCTGAAAATGCCAGAGAAAGAGAGGCAGACCAATGAGAGACAGACGTCTGGTCATGCATAGATGCCCCCGCTCTTGTCCCCCCCTTCCTCCTCCCCGCCCGGCCTATTCTTTGATGTGTACCGTGGACATTTTCAATAACGTCTTCCTGCTCACCATACGAGATAGAGAGAGAGAGAGAGAGAGAGAGAGAGGAGTGAGCAGATGTGGGAGAAAAAAAATACACAAGATACTGCAGCACTCATTCGATGTGCTCTGATTTCAGGAGCACTCTAGCATCCTGTGTGTTGGAACATGAAGGTCCAGCAGAAGAACACCATCATAGTTAGAGCAGCATTTGCCCTTGACGGCCGTGCTGATAAAAAAGATGGGGGATTATTTTAAGGTTATCTGCATATGTTTCTTCATCTGATGCATTTGAAAGAGAACAGGTGATTGTATGAAGGACAGGCAGGAGACAAGTGTCATATTTAGGTCAAAGTGGTTTATTCGATCTCACTCAGAGGCCCTGGGTGCAAGCATCAACCCAGATCTAGAAACTGGGGAAGAGAGGGAACAGAACATACTGTATCGCTTGTTATTTTTTTGCTCTCTCCAGATTCAGTATATGCTAAAGCTAAAAAGACAGCTCACCACTCTGTTATCTGCCATCTGTTTTTGGGGCGCTTCTGATGTAGCTGGAGAGATTTTGAAACAAATTTGCCACACTGAATTAGTGTTTGGCTGCTGTAGGCCCGGACTCCACCAGCTGTGCTTTGATTTGAGAAAAGCTTGTGTGGAGAACATACTGAGATGGAGACGCACAATCCTTCAAGGCTATTCTGAGACCCGTTCCACAATGGCAAACGTACGCTTCACATGGGATTGAAATATAAGAATTTACAACCATCATGAATCAAAACGGAGGCCGAAGTGGAGCATTTCTTACCCTCTACCTTTAATTTAATACCTTTAGATTTACTATATTTCAGGACATTTTCTGACTCACCCTCAAGAGCAACTTAGCTTTCACTTGCCTTTTTCACCTTCAACACGTAATCAAAAATGTTATCACACCATTTGTCAACGCGTAGCCCAAACTCTTCTCCTCCAGCTCACACACTTAGTGGTGATGACAACTTGATTGGAGGTGCAAGAATAACTCCGAGACCTTATTAAACATGAAGGTTTTTTCAGATGGACAAACCACACGATGAGCTGCTTGGCGGTTCATTAGCCCGGGCAGCGAAGGCAGCTTTGTGGCGCCTGAAGGAGGTGAAGATTTGTGTGTGCAGCAGTGACCCGTTGGCCCCCGCAGGTGAACAACCAGCAGGAGAGGCAATCTTTCTCTGTTTCCTCCACCTGAGGTCTGATGCCAGGGCGGGTTTGAAACAAGGGACAGTCGTGCCGCTGGCAGTTTGGGCACTAAGCTGCTGTCACAGATCAGATGGGCAGGTGGCGGCAGATTAATGCACAGGTGATAATGGTCCACCTGTTCATCGCTGCAGGGACGGGCAAGGAGCGGCAGGTTGGTTCAAAAAACATCAAAATGCTGCTAAAGGGGCACAGAGTACAGGTCTGCCGATGATTTAAAGCTCAAACTGATGACAGACCACAGCCTGAACACTCCACTGGGAATTGTACACCCCCCCACCCACCCCACCCTCGCTTCATTGAGCGAGATATATGTGCAGTATCCTCCTCGCCTCATTTGCTGACTCTAACACTGGATGGAGAAACGCACTGACCCTGACCGTTTGTTTGGTTTGCCACTCCATCTTTCTGACACGTTCACCTTGGGGTCACCTTGCCTCAGCCGTGGCCTGATTGTGCCATTCAACCATTCGCCTGCAGGGAGCTGTCTGCTGCTCCAGATAGCGCACACACACACACACACACACACACACACACACACACGCGCGACCAGAGGCTTCATCTTGTGCGTGCATGTGTGTGTGTACTTGCTGGTCTTCTGCAGGAATATGTCTGTGTGTGTGTGTGTGTGTGTCTCTGTAATCAGCTCTAAAAGGCATGTTCGGTCTTGTCTCCTCTCTGTAGATCATGGACAAGGCACTGCTCCCGTCCGTGACTCTCATCGTTGGCTGTGGGGTCTCCTCGCTAACCCTGCTGCTTCTCATCATCATCTATGTCTCCGTCTGGAAGTAAGTAACTCTACCAGCAGAGTCTGCCCATGTCAGCTTTACATTTCATGTTACGGCTTCTATTTTATCGACTTTGTTTTCCACATCTCTAAATCTTTATTTCCTCTTCTCCTACATTTCCAGGTACATCCGCTCCGAGCGCTCCGTCATCCTCATCAACTTCTGCCTCTCCATTATCTGCTCCAATGCTCTCATCCTCGTTGGACAAACTCAGGCTCGCAACAAGGTAAGACACTCTTTTTCCGCCATGATTGCAGCCTCTCTTAAACTCACTGCTTTTTGGTGATTTTGGAGTAGATGCATCTCAGACTCAACTTCTCCTTTTCTCCTCTTCCTTCTGCTCTATCACAGGTGGTGTGCACTCTTGTTGCTGCTCTCCTGCACTTCTTTTTCCTCTCCTCTTTCTGCTGGGTGCTGACCGAAGCTTGGCAGTCGTACATGGCTGTCACTGGTCGTCTCCGCAACCGCATTATCCGCAAGCGCTTCTTGTGCTTAGGATGGGGTACGAGAGTCTGTCTTATTGTCATCTCTCCTTTTATTCCCACCTTTGTCGCTTCCCTTTCTCCCTTTCTTTTTTTTTGCATCCTAAATGTTCCTTCTTCTTTGTGTGTTTTTCAGGCCTTCCTGCACTTGTGGTGGCTGTGGCTGTCGGTTTCACAAAAGCTAAAGGATACGGCACTGTCAACTAGTAAGTCTCCCCTGTGGCTGCCATATTTTGAGCCTCCCCCCCTCCCCCTGCAATCATCCAGAAAAGCTCCTTTCTTAGCTCACACATTAATATTCTTTTTCTCCTTTCTAGCTGCTGGCTGTCTCTTGAGGGCGGACTCCTCTACTCCTTTGTCGGCCCTGCTGCAGCTGTTGTTCTGGTACATATCCTGCCTTTCACATCCCGATCCATCACAATACTTGGTCTGTTTTTAGATGCATTACCCGCTGTTAGATTGTCTCATCCATTTTTTTTTTCTTGCAAACAGGTGAATATGGTCATTGGTATTCTGGTCTTCAACAAGCTGGTATCCAAGGACGGCATCACTGACGTGAAACTGAAGGAGAGAGCCGGGTAGGTCTTATTGATCTTCTCTGTACGCCCATGTGTTGTGCTTATCGCCCTCATCAGCACCATGACAGGCGTATCGATGATCTGCTTTGATATCAAGACTCAAAATCAAACAACAGGAGTGAAGAGAGAAACAGAAGTGTGACTTTAGTCTGATTTCTTGTTTGTCTTTCCTCTGCAGGGCGTCACTGTGGAGCTCCTGTGTGGTTCTGCCCCTCCTGGCCCTCACCTGGATGTCCGCTGTCCTTGCCATCACCGACCGCCGCTCCGCCCTCTTCCAGATCCTCTTCGCAGTCTTCGACTCCTTGGAGGGCTTCATCATCGTCATGGTTCACTGCATCCTGCGCAGAGAGGTAAGGAAAAGGATTCATTCAGGGGTAAAGTAACAGGAATATGAATAAAGGGGAGTTTTTTGTTTTACTTAATAAGGTTACATGAGCTGATTTTTTTTTTTTTCCCCATCTTCCATTAGGTTCAAGAAGCCGTAAAGTGCAGAGTAGTGGACCGCAAAGATGACGGCAACGGAGACTCTGGCAGCTCTCATCACAATGGCCACTCCCAGCATATGGTACATTTCTTGGCATAATGCCTTTTTAATGTCTGGAGTGCCTCCTACATTATATCCATGAATGAATATTTACATAGAACTGTTTTCTATTCTTTTCTCAGCCGTCTGATAACGAGAAGGATGGAGATTCAAACAGACAAGGTGAGACCCTTTTACTCTGGCTCCTAACCATTTTTCCATTTTCATTTCCATTTCTTCCTTCACTAAAACGTCTAATGGAACATTTTTATTGAACCAGTTGTTTTAGATGGTGGTGGGCTTCTTTCTTGTTTTTTTAACCGTTTTCTCTCCAAAGGAATGAAGAGCTCCTCTGAAGAGAAGATGCCTCCTCCTCAGATGCCTCTCCCGATGGGCTCCAACTTCCACACCCTCCCATCCAACCCCAATAAGAGCCACATGCAGGCCGTCCCCGAGTACTCCAGCCACACCCTGACCCTGAAGAGAGAGAAGAGCCGCCTTGCGATAGGAGTCGACCCGTCCTGCGGGAAACCCGTGTACGTCTGCGAGGGCGAGCTCTTCCAGCAGCTGGACGCAGATCTCGCTCGGGCTCAGGCTGAGTGCGGCCTCTCTGACGGCAGCGGCTATGTCCTCATGCCCAACACCACTTCCACCCTGAGGACCAAACCTAAGGATGACCCTACAAAGTACAACATCACCATGGAGCAGCTGCCTCAGGCCCGGTTGATGCACCTCAGCGGGCCCTTCGCAGAGCCCCAGGCTGCCTTTGGGATGAAGTCCATCCCCGCCGATCAGGTCAGCGTGTCGTACTCTGAGAGAGACTCGCCCATCCAGAACATCCACAACATGTCCAGCGAGTCTCACATCACGCACAGCAGCCTGGAGAACACTTTCGAGTCCATGAACTCCATGATGTCAAAGAGTGAGACCATCTCCACTCTGTCCATGAGCTCCCTGGAGGTAAGGGAGGGACAGGAAACGGGACCTCAGAATGTGTTTCATGCATTCTTCTACCAGGTTTATTAAATGTATCTAAAACTAAACCAACTTCCCTTTTCTTTCTTTTTTCTAACAGAGACAGAAATCTCGTTACGCTGAGTTGGACTTTGAGGTAAATGTTGCTTGACTTCTCTTTTTTAAAGGTTTTATATGAAACTTTATATATATTTGATGTCACAACACTTACACTGCCCATCTTACTTGTATGAGAGTTTTTGTTGTTTTTAGCTATGGATAACTGTATGTGTGTGCACTTTAAGGTGAAGCTGTATAATTTTGTTGTACGTTGTATAATGACACTAAAGACTTTCTATTCTATTCTAACATTTGATTTTGAGTCTAAACCTTTTTTGTGCGTCTTTGTCATCTCCACAGAAAATAATGCACACAAAGAAACGCCACCAGAACATGTTCCAGGACCTGAACAGAAAGCTTCATCACGCTGAGAAAGACAGAGAGTCTCCGGCGTCTGACAGCAAGGTAGCTTATTGTGATTTGACGCTCGTCATCCATTTCAGAAGATGCCATTTTTTAAAGAAATTAAGAGCTAAAAGATAAAGTGAAAGATAAAAGAGGCAGCTTTTTGGATGTAAGAATGACCCTTCAAAACAACCAGTGACCTGTGTATTGAACTTTGGTTGTGTTTACCTGGAGGTCATTTAAATAAGGCTGTATTTTCTTCCTTCCTTCTTACAGTCTGTGAGATGGAGTGTGTCATCAGGAGGAAGTGACAAAACGAACCACAGTGTGAGTGTTTATATACAACCTCACAGTCTCAAATTTTACTGCCTATAGACGAGACACACCCTCAGATATTACACTTGCCTCAAGGAGGACTAATGTCCCCAAATGACAAAAGTACTTTCATTATTAGAAAATCACCTCTGATGTAATGAAAGCCATTTCATTTTGATTAAATCAGAATTGCTCAGGGCCAATGGGTGGCACCAGCGCTAAAGTGGCTCCTCTTTTTTTATCCCACCAGGACAAGCAGCAGGCACCGATGGAGAGGCCGTGGGAGGGAGTCCGGGGGATCCCGCAGTCGCCCCCTGCATGGGTGCGGAAAGACCTGGAGCCCCTTGCTGCCTCACCTCTGGAGCTTCACTCTGTGGAGTGGGAGAAGACCAGCACCACCATCCCTCTGGTGGGGCAGGACATCATTGACCTGCAGACGGAGGTCTGAGTGGGGAGGAGGGGGGCTCGAGAAGCCGCCTGATTTCACCTTGGTCACCTTTTTTGGTTTAGGAATGGGATCCAGGATGGATAGAGTAGAAGAAAAAACCAAGAGAGTGAAGAAGTTGGTCCCAGAATCAATGTCTTCAAACCCTCAGCCAGAGCAAGAAGAGAGATGGAGTAGGAGATGATGTGAAAGGGATGATTAATGTAGCTTCTCTGTGTGGACTTAAAGCATCTTGTGACTGAGTGCTGTGAAGGGCAAGGGTTAGTGGAGCGATTAGTGGTTTCCATGGACCAGGACTGGTAAATGGTTCCATTAATGCTCCATTGGAGTTTCCTGAACCCCCTCAGTTTGGGTTCAGAAGATGTGGTCGACATGTCTGTGCTTATTTTTTTCCTTCAACTCAACTTTGGAGAAAAATTAAATAATGATGGTGCGTCCTCCCTGCTTCTCGGGAGGACCAATCAGAACCTTTGGCTGCTCCTCTTCAAGCCAAGCTCACTTCCAAACTAAGACAAGGCAAAGGAGCAGAAAGGGGCCAGTTTCACACTTGGAGTCCAACACTCTGCAATTTTTGCTTTTGTGCCGTGGGTTATTTTATTTTTTCTGCTTTCTGCTTCACACTTGGAACTGCTTCAAAAAGCCTTAAAAGAGACTCTTTGATGAGAGAACACATCTCCTTTCTGTGAGTGCAGGCTTTTTCACGCTGATAGTTCTCACTGCTGTTATCAAACCTGGTTATTATTATTCCAGTAATTAATGCTATTATTGTCATTTTGGATTTATTTTTACTTTCTGTTCCCCACATGACTGTCAGGCACAAGATATATTGATTATTTTGCAGTAAAATTTTACATTAGGCTCCAGAAATGACTCAGTGCATCTATAATGTGTTGCGATGGACTGCATCGGGACAAACACGCAGAGTGGTGATGGAGGGGATCGCTACGTAAAATGTCCTGGTTACTCCTTGATACCAAAACACCAGCACCAGGAAAAACACGAGACTCTTACACAGGAAGAGCAGTGCACTCTGGGTAAAACGCTGGGTTGGAAAATGTGAAGAAATGTGTGATTCCTCTCAGCTGGCGCAAGATGCAGGCTCTTCCATGTTGTACATGAGGATTGGAGGGTTCAGCGAAACCTTTTAATCATCGCTCCTTATGTTTTTGCTCAGCCTTGCAGGACTCTTGGACCGATCGGAGGCTGCCTGGCGCCGCTGTGACTTCCAATGCAGCGCCAGCTCCTCGAGAATTCAACACATTTGTGTTTTCAGCCATCAGTGTGAAATAGTGCAATATGATGGGCGCTTGATGCTCAAGCAAGACTGATTTGATTTTGGCAGTATTTTTCTTACAAATGTTTTCAAACTTTTGTACCATCTTCCTCATATTTACAAAGCAGAAAGATGTTTTAAGGGAATATTGTTCAACAAATCTGTATTAGTAATTCAAGGAATTTATTCACTAGAGATTTGTTAGCACAGGACTTCATATTTGGAGCTCTAAGTGACAGGTAGATTAATGTACTTCTATAGAGCGCACATTATATCGAATGAATGGTATCTAAAGTCTGCTTCAGGATATTTGTGATTACTCTTCGCTGTGTAGCGAGGCGTATTCGAACCTCATGTCTTCTGTAACAGTGTGTTTTTGATAACCTTGTCAGTGACTCAGTAGTATGTACTACCAGCCAATCCCCACTTCCCTTCAGAATCCTGCGTCTAGCCTGATTCAGCCCTGGAGTTACTCGTGTCAGAGACCCATTTGTATTCTCTTGTCACAGCTTTGTTTTTATTGTTCGGTTTTACCTCCTGTAAATGTACAGTTTTCACAGCACAAAATGAATGTGACTAATTTCTAATAAAACACATGTATATTACATTAAGAATGTGGTCCTCCTGCATACATTGTAATGAAGTGACACAACTTTAAATATCTTATTCTTTCCAATCATCCGGCTCAAAACGACCTCCGCTGCAGAGTCAGACTTGCATGTTGTCTGACAGCGATATCTAAAGCCAAAGCAAACTAAATCGCCTCCTAAAAATAAAAAGTTTAAAAGTATAATGACTCACCAACATACTGCATTGAGTCGAAAGTGAAGCAGAACATGGAGAAATGGATTTAGAGTCCATGCCACATTAAAGCCTCCGGCGAATATTTCCCTCTCTAAATATAGACGTGAATTTGCAGGTCTAAATAAAACAAAAAAAGCCATCTCTAAAAATGATAAAAGTACAAATCTCCTCTGTTCTATTTTCATGCTTTGCAGGGAGGCGAATCATTGCCGAGAAAAAGATCTATGAAGTTGAGAAATGAGAAAACAAACAAATTTGACAGGGGCCAAAATATGATTATGGCCTCTTTAAAAAATAGGACAAATGTTTCAACAGTTTAAATGTAGTTTTGCCTGCTCAGGCTGCATTGTTGGCTCTCACACTCTCTCTGTTCTCCATATAATCACTTCTTTTCTGTTTTAATTGGACCAGCCTGCTGTAATTCTGCTGCAAGCTATAAGCGAAAGGAGATTTACATCCTCCATTTGTGAGCGCTGCTTTTTGTGGGGTCAGCTGGAGGAGCAGGCTGGCTTGTGTGCAAACGGCGCTTTACTGTAGATGCCTTTTTTATTCATTGCATTTCATGTTTGTCTCCACCTCACATGAAATTCATAGTCTTCCTTTTTCCATCTTTCTAATTTTTGCTTCGTGGATCATTTTGTGCTCATTTATCTTCCCACCAGACGTCATCTTAGTCTGCTCTTGGCAATTCAAAGCACTAATGTTGGAGCTAATTTGGCAGCATTTGAAATGTGTCTCCAAAAATATACTACATGAATCACTGTGGCCCTCATTATTTGTGTTTCTCTTCATGTCATGACCCGCAGTTGGTTGCAATGAGTGAGCAAGATGACAGATTTGACTGAACAACAGATCGAGATCTTCAAAGACGGACAAATATTCAAAATAAACATGTAGAATATGGGACAATGTGCAAGACTTGTCTCGTGTGTAAATGCATAAAAATTGGTATACTTTATGCTACTTCGCATTAAAATACATTTTGAATGTTGCAAACATCGCTTAAAGATCAGATACCAGTTCAGTATACACAATAAATATATTCATGCAGCTATAAAGATGCTGCAGCCATTTCTTATTAAATCATATCTATAAGCAAGCAGCTCTGCCTCCTCATTAGCCTTTTAACAAAGTCCATCCAATCATAAACACAGTAATTAGTATATGTTGGTGCTGTGTGTCTGTGTGTGTTAAAAAAAAACATCCCTATACTAATAACCTCCTGAAGCTGTCGATGAAATACCTTCCCCCACCCTCCAACACACACTCATACATACACAGTATTCCTCTTTTTCTCATCTCAGCACCCCCCATCCCTCCTGACGAGAACCCAGTATCAATTAGCACCTCGGTGGCAGTAACACTAAGTTCCTGGCTGTGTCTTAATTGGAGGCGGTTGTTATAGAAACAGCAGATGCTAATCCGGGAGAGATGCAAAGAGAAGTGAAAGAACAGAGAGAGCAGATTTCCTGTCACAGGCAGTACTGTCTTTGTATGGATTTTAAGCAGTACATTACATGATTATATTATTAGTGTAAAGCTGCTGCAAGGTTTGTTTTTATATCTTGTTTGTTTTAAAAAGCTTCAGGAAATCGAATTAAAAAGATACATTTTATTCGCTTTACAATTTTAAGCAACTCTGAGCAGCGAGGTTGTAAAATAATCAAACTCAGCTTAGTTTTTTTTTAAAATATTTGTTTTAAGGTATAGTCATTTTTATTTACAAACTGGCATAAATTGTGAGACAACAGTATCCTAAAAGATATTACAAAAGTTCAACCTGAGGGACTTGAAACTGAAGGAGATTTATAACAATGGGACTGGAACAGAAGTTCTCATATCCTCACCCTAGACTTTGGCTGCCATTACTTCGCTTTTGAATCCATATTTGCATCCACGTTCAGTGAGTCGGAACAGCTGAAGTGATTCCTAGAGGACAGCTAATAGCATGCCACTCATCCAAAGAGACAATGCTCTTAATTATGCACAACTTTAAACCTTAATATTTCAATAGGTGAGTCATATTAAATTCTCCTTGTGCTCAGTCGTACAAATGGCAACATCAGTTAGAGGTTTATGTTTCAACTTGTAAAAATATGAGGATCATAACCAATTAAAATGGTCATGAGGTCTTTTTTGGAGCCTGCATCTTGTGGCTGACGGATAAACTGCAGATTTATCTAATTCATGCTGGCTTCAGTTGTCAGCCCTGGAGAAGGCATCAACATCACATGTTAAATTCACTAGTGGAACTTGATAGCAGATAGCTGCTTATTTGCACATCCTGCAGCCATGGATCAGAAAAGTATTCACTTGGAGTCTTGTTGTACATTATCTTCAGAATCTAGGATTAATATTCACTCTCGTGTCTCTCTGCTTTTGGTCTCTAAGAACTCCACCACCAAGTAGTTCTGAGCAGGTGGTTTACAGTGTTTCTTCTAATTAGATTCATTTTTCTGTAAAGCTTCATAGAAGTGAGCGGAGCTGCAGATTCTGTTCATAATTTCCTTCTTTAATTGGTGAATAACATTGCAAAGCAAACTAGGGACACTAAAAAACACCAAAGAAAACACAAAGAGAAAAGTTATACAATAAAACAGTGGACAGATTACCAATAAGAGAAGGATGGTTTATGACAAATGTGGAAGTAGAGATACTATCAAAGGTAAGAAATACATAAAAACAATAGTAATCGTAAAGAGGGAGAAGAGAGAATGGAGAGAAGTTATAACACATAACATATTGAATGAAGTAAAGAATATTGGGTTGATAGATTTATTTGTGTTATGTGATCTCAGAAAGTTTGTGTGAAGAGTGAGGGTCATGTAGTGGTGTGGGGGTAAGGGGGTAAGGGGGTAAGGGGGGGAATAAGGAAGCCTCCTATAGCTTCATCTGAACATGTGACACCTTCTACATTGTCATTGATATTTCCAGCTGTACTCTTTAGTACATGACATTTTGTACTGACCTGAAAGGAGGATGTCGTAATCACAACTCTACCATGAATCAAGTTGTTAAAAGAAAACCAGATTTTCTAACACAGCTTAACATGTTTATGATTATTACAATACCAAAATCTGAAACCCTTCTTCCTGTTCCTTTAAAACTGTCTGTGTGAATATAATAGATCCACATTATATGAAACAACAGAGAGATCAAAAGGACTGATTAGTGGAAGTAAAAGTAGCTTTGACATGCTGTCACCCAAAGCGGTGTGACGTTGTTGTGGTGACATTTGATCTGAGATACTGGTAAGGAGCAGTGATTACATGATATATAATGTTGTCATTACCATGCAGGAGTGGTCACCTGAGAAGCAACAGTCTGTACAGTGTAGTACAAACCAATACACAATTCAAGCAGTAACACTTGGAGAGAGCGTAACAATCTCATCACAAGCTCCATTTAGTTTCTGTTTCAGAGCTTTCAGTCACATCAATTTGAACATTTATCCCAACACATTGGGACAAACTGCATCTGCAGAAAAGGAGGTCATTCAATGTGATTGAACTTCAAGAACTTGTTGTAAATGAACAGACTGTTGATATTGTTTTCTTTGAGTAACAAATCTCACAGATGCCTCTTTTCTTAGACGGCCCCCAGTGGCAATAAGTGGTAACTGCAGCCACAGAAAAATGTACTTTCAACATTTACAAGAGAAACACCAACAGACTGTACACATAAGATATGTGTCTGCTGTCTGAGCTTTGATTAACCTTGTGGACCGACCAGGGGCGGCTGTGGCTCAGTTGGTAGAGTTGTTGCCTCTCAACCAGAAGGTCAATTGTTGGATGGGCAACATGTGCGATGTGTCCTTGGGCAAGACACTTAACCCTGAATTGCTCCCTCTGCTTCGTTGGTGGTGTATGAATGGGATTAGTTACTTCTGATGGATGATACTACATAGAGATCACTACCATCAGGGTGTGAATGTGTAGGTGTGACCTGCTGTGTAAAAGAGCTTTGAGTAGTCAGAAAACTGGAAAAGCGCTATATAAGCTCAAGTCCATTTACCATTTACCAACCACTTCAACCAGCATGTGCATTACTTGAGTCTTAGCACCTCCCAGCGAGAAACTGAAAGAGAGACGTGAGAGAGAAATAATGCCACAATACTTTGAAATGAAATGATGTGTATCAATATATATCATCATTCGTGGATTTAACCGTGAGAATATCCAGTGTGGAGAACAATAAGTAATGCATGGTGTGGAGGTGCAGCATTTCTCCACACCAATCTTGTCCCGTCTTAGGTCACCTGATTACCACCCTGGGGAAGTGGTCAATCTGGAAACGAGTGGTAAACTAGCCAGGCATGTATCCTGTAGAGTGTGTAGGTGGCCTGATTGCAGATGAGTGGCATGTATGTTGGCTTGATTGGCTGCAAGGTGTGTGTATCCACACAACCACCTCCAGATGAACACACACTCACACACAGAAGAAAAGAAACACAGAAAGTCATTTTGCATTCATTTCAGTCTTTTTCTTAACCAGTAAAAATTTCCTCACATACATACTTAAATAATTAGCCAACTCCTTAAACGGGGGATTTGGACGATGTGTATCTTTAAAAAACAGATTTCTTTGCTTCCAGTTGAATTTTTTAGTTGTAAGTCATTACTGGAGAAACACAATAAGATTAGCTACATCCAGTGTTTTCAGCTGCGACACAGCATGTCCTTCAGCTCAAATGATACTCTTGTTTTTCAGAGCGTAACAGATCTGAAAGCATGACTCTGAGACGCAGGAACCCCCAGCTTGTCTGTTCCTGGTGGGCAAATTTCTCTCGAATGTCAATACAAATTTA